CGGGATCACTACTATGACGAGGTTAGCGTGCGCCTGATCCCCATCAGACAAAGCTTATTACCCCATAAGCAGAAGGGCTACGACTGGATCGCAGAGCTCAGGGATCAGTATGGCCTGGGACGGTACGAACTCAGCGATGAGACCATCATGAGCCTCCAAGGCCCTCCTCCCCTGGTTGATCAAATATACAACCAAAATAACTGTCACTTTCGACCGACGGTGGCGGATCACGTCATTGGCTTGCTGGTATCCCGCTCAATTCAAACGATGCGGCGACTGAAGCCAAATGCGATCCATGTTCTGGTTGTGTGCTCATGGAACTGCCAGGGGGACAATGTCCACAAGGAGATGAACGCCACATTCGACCTGTGCTGCTCGGAGACACTGTCTGAGGTGGGTGCGGTGGCTGCTCGACACACGGGCAAGGCATGGGCCCTCAGACCCTTCCTGGAACCCTACGTCAGTCGCCGGCCAATGCCCCGCACTCTTTTTCAGACATACATGCACGATGACCACCCGGGTCCCAAAAGCATGTGCCGGGAATTCCTGGCTGACTTCGAGCGCTCCTTCTGCAATGACGAGATCTTGCTCGAGACCCTTCAGGTGCATGCTGGAGACAGCGGAGAACACTTGATCAAAAGTTTGAGGCAGCCTGCTCACAAGGCTGATGTCTTCAGGTACGTCTACCACTACTACCATGGTGGCCTGTACCTGGATATCAAGATGGCGCTGCGAATGCCCTTCGATCAAATTTTAGGGCTCATCGCTTCAGAATGGGACAATGTCCAAGTTCGCAAGAGCAAAGAGCTGGGGCACTGCCCAAATGGAGTAGAAGGGGTTCTGCCCAAGGAGTACATGATCATGGGCATTGGGGTCAAAAATGACCACATTTTCCAGGGCATCATCTATGGACAACCGCGCCATCCCCTCATGCTCTGCGCTATCAATCACGCTTTCAGCAGGCAAATTCTTGCCTCGGTTGCCAACCTGGACTACATGATCTTCTGCAAGGAACTTTGGAAGCTCCTCACGCACGACATGGGCCACACCCCAGTGACAGGATGGAACCAGACCCGACAGTTCGGACCGGTGTATTTGCTCCGCGAGCGACATTCAGCTCAGCTCACCAAGTCCAAAGAGCTTGAGTCTGACGGTCACTACTTTGAGACCCGCGGTCAGGTTCGGGTAGCATTCACCCGCTGCTGGAGCTGGCGAAAAGGCTTCAAGGGCGACCCCAGGGCAGCTCAAAGAAATGAAAACTCTCTCATGCAGAGCGTGCCCCAAATCGTCTCGGAGGTCATTGAAGCCGGTGGCGCTGCCTCTGCAGCACCCCATTCAGCACAAGCGGGAGCAATGCTCACCAATGCAGGCGTCAGAGTTGTCGGCGAGACCGTGCTCAGCAGCCTCGAACGGGGTGATTTTGACGCGATCATGGCGGCGGTCGAGAAGGAGCCGCAGTACCACGGCATTTCGGCCGAGGCTGTCCTCCGCAACATCCCCCGAGGCCTCTGCCTTCACCCTGAAGATCCTGACTGGCTTTCCTGCCGCTACTGCGAGCGCGGCGGTCGGCGCTTGAAGTTCCCAAATGAGTTGGGAGTCACACACCACTTCATGCAATCCCGGCACGACCGATCAGTGCCCGAGCCACCAAGCCCCCCGCCTCGCAACAGCATGTGGTCGCAGCGCCCGGCCGAGCCTGCAAACCCTCCCTCAGCTGCAGCCATCGCAGCGTCAGGCCAGGCTCCACCACCACCAGAACCCACGGCGGACCGTCCGCCCCAGTGGAGACCCACAGCGTCGGTGTCTAAGGCACGCTTTGGGCTCGGCCTCCCTCCCATTCCGCCAGGTCCTACCCCACATGCGCAGGGCCACCGGCCTCTTGCAGTGAAACAAGAACAGGGGGTCAATGACCAACCGGCGGACATCAAGGATGAGAAACATGCCACTGCTGATCCCACGTTGGGATGGGCGGAAGACACTGTGGGCACGCCAGATACTCCGATGCTGCCGGCGAGCACACCGCAGTCACACAAGTCTGCTGGCTCTGGCCAGACAAGTGATCGGCCTTTCAACGCATTCTCAGCCCAGAATGTGACTCCGACAGCTGCCCCCACCGAGGAGACCGTCCCGCAGACCCCAGGCCCGGCTGACACCACACCATCCTCCCCTGTGGATGCCCCCTCTACGCGTGCAGAGGTCAAATACCAGGGACCGGTCACTACGACCAAGCTGGTGGAGTACAGTGTCAACCCCTCTCCAGCGCAAGAGGCAAATCAACTGCCAAAGCGAGATCAGATTATCCACATCTGCCAGTCTGACCAGATGCTGGAGTGGGTCCATGCCTTTGCGACCATTTCCATTATGAAGGAGCAGGCTATAGTGGGTGGCCTCACGGCCTCTGAGCAGGTCTACCTCTGGACCAATAGGTTTCGGGCACTGGGCAAGGTGCCATGGATCTTCGCCCCGATCAAGAAGGTCGCCACTGACAAGGATGCCAACTGGCTTGACATCACGCAGGCGCGGCTTATGGTCGGGGCCAATGGCCAATTCACATTCTCCATTGGCCAAGATGATCGCTACACCGAGCTCAAGTCCACCACGACCTACTATGGCATAGTGCACGCCCTTTTTCAGAAAATGTGGGATCATCCGGACATGAGCGCATTGCTCGAAACGGATGACAACTTCGAGATCGTGGCCTCCACCTTCAAGTGCATCTATGACCAGTCCTCCAGGAAGAGTGGTGGCCAAAATCGCGCCATCTTCTACCAGCCTCGGGATGGACAAGTTGTCCGCAAGCTCCGTATCGAACACAACAAGGGCGACACGGCCACCTACCAATGGCATCGTCAACGCGAGCTACGTGAGCAGCGTGAACAGCGTGACAAGCGCTCTGGTGAAGAGACACAGTCTCACACAGACAAGCGCTACAGAGACGGCGATGCCTGGACCCGAGGAGGGTGGTGGAATCGTGGCTCGGACTCGGGGGCCAGTGGCAGCCGCTCCTGGCACCAGTGAGCCCCACCTTTGATCACCGGTGCCAATGGCAACCTATACAGTGAAATGCGGAGGCCATGCCTGCAATTCTACTTCGTTTCTTCCGGCACGTACTGACGGCCTTTCTGCTGATTGCCGCCGCTGTCAGAGAAAAACATGCCTCGCCTTCTGCCAGTCGCAGAACTGTGCCTCTGCTACTAGTGCTGCATAATCACTACCCTCGCTCAGGTACACACAACAATCTGAAGCTTGATGCCTGGCAGCCTACCAACTTGCTTCGGCTGACCACTGCCAGTTAGCTTGAAGCCTGTAGGCCGCCAACACCCAAAGGTCTTCGACCAGGGCTGTTCAGCTATAGGGTCTGAGTCAGTTTCACACCATGTGAGTGCACCGCGGCAATCGCCCGCTATGTGCTGAGCCCGCTCGCACAGCGTTCAATTGAAAATAGCAGTAGCAGTAGTAGTAGTAGTAGTAGTAGTAGTAGTAGTAGTAGTAGTAGTAGTAGTAGTAGTAGTAGTAGTAGTAGTAGTAGTAGTAGTAGTACCTCTCTAATAGCAATGGTAATATTGCTAGCAATAATAACCGTCATAGCAATATAGCAGTAGCAGTAGCAGTTGCAATAGCATTAGCAATAGCAATAGCAATAGCAACGGCAAAAGCATTGTTGAGCAAAAGCAGTAGCAGTAGCAATAGCGGTCAATACTGTAGCGGTAGCAGTAGCGATAGCGATAGCAACAGCAATGGCGATAGGAATAGTAATAGTTTTAGTAATAGTAATAGGAGCAATAGTAGCAGTAGTAGCAGGAGTACTGAGCAGCAGTGATACCAGTAGTAGCAAAAGTAGCACAAGTAGCCGTAGCAGTAGCGAAGGCAATAGCGGCAGTAGCTGCAGCAGCAGTAGCAGTAGCGGTAGCAAGTGCAGTAGCAGTAGCAGTAGCAGCGGTAGCAGCAGTAGCAGTAGTAGCAGTAGTAGCAGCAGCAGCAGTAGTAGCAGTAGCAGTAGTCGTTGTAGTAGCAGTTGCAATCTTGGCAGTAGCAGCAGTAGCAGCAGCAGTTGCAGTAGCAGTAGCAGTAGCAGTAGTAGTAGTAGTAGAAGAAGAAGAACGAGGAGTCGTAGCAGTTCAAAGTGGTAGTAGTAGTAGTAGTAGTAGTAGTAGTAGTAGTAGTAGTAGTAGTAGTAGCAGTAGCAGTAGCAGTAGCAGTAGCAGTAGCAGTAGCAGTAGCAGTAGTAGTAGTAGTAGTAGTAGTAGTAGTAGTAGTAGTAGTAGTAGTAGTAGTAGTACAAGAAGTAGTAGTAGGAGTACAAGAAGAAGGTAGTAGTAGTAGTAGTAGTAGTAGTAGTAGTAGTAGTAGTAGTAGTAGTAGTAGTAGTAGTAGTGGTAGCAGTAGTTGTAGTAGTAGTACTAGTAGGACCATATAGTTGTCGTGGTCGCGGTAGCAGTAGCAGCAGTAGCTGTAGTAGTATTGGTGCTAGTGTTGCGGCAAGTGCTAGTGCTGGTGCTAGTAATAGTAGTAGTAGTAGTAGTAGTAGTAGTAGTAGTAGTAGTAGTAGTAGTAGTAGTAGTAGTAGTAGTAGTAGTAGTAGTAGTAGTAGTAGTAGTAGTAGTAGTAGTATTGCATTGCACTCGTCTCGCGAAGATTCACGTCTGACGTATGGGGGACAGACTTTTGTCCGGCAGCTCAGTGGCTGCGCTGCTCTCTTGGCAGCTCCCTCAAGAGAACTCGGAAGGCCGCTTAGTCCATCTCGTTGAGATTCAACGTCGTAGCAGATCCGATCTGAGCATTCTGAGTCGAAGCATTCTGGCTTATAGCTCGTGCTGGAAGTTGCTCACCTGCCTGATGGTGACCAAGGAGGGTTGCCTGCCTCCTAACACAGCTCTTCTTGTGGGATCGTCCAGCTGGGTGCTTGCAGTACGAGCAGCAATAAGTGTGTCTATGAAAAGCCATAAAGCTCACGAGCGGTTCAAGCTTCACAGGTCCCTCCCTCTTCTTTCCTTGAAGCCATGTCGGGCCAGGGAGACCAGCTGGACAAAATGTCTGCTTTGCTGGCAGAAGTGGCTGCTCAGCTAGAACAAGTGAAGCTGCAAGGATCACGGCGTGAAGAGCAGCATCAAGACCTCACAGATCGCATGACTCAGTTGGAAGCACGCATGGATGCCCCACAGTCCTCGGCTGCCGTGCTCATTCCGACTCAGCTGCAGCCACAGTCCTTCACAGTGCCGTTAGCACAGGGGGTAGACCTCAACGCCCCGGCCACGGTTGGGCAGTGCATGGAGCTGGTGCAGATGGCGATGCAGCAGAAGGTCGCCCCTGCTCTGGGAGCCGTCTACTCAACTCCTCCCTGTCTACCTCACAGGTGAGGACAAACGAGCGAGTGAGCAACCTTGAGCAGCAGGTCCGGGCCCTTCGCATCCGCACAGCCTGGGCCGAGAAGGACATGCCCTTTGCTCAGATCGAGCAGGCCAAACGTACCATAGTATGCCGCAACTTCCCCACGTGGCAGACGGAGGCGGACCGTCGCCTCACAGTGGAAAAGGCCCTTGCGAAAGCTGGGCTGTGGAACATTGATGGCATGTGGGACTTGACCACGACACGCCTGGACACCGGCACTCCGGGCAAGCCGGAGCTCTCCGCCACGTCCATCCTCACAGTCCCCTCCCTCACAATCCGGAAGCGGATCCTGGAGGTAGCGGACAGGGTGTACCCTTGGTACTTCCACCAGGAGAAGCCCGGGACCACGGACGAGGCGAAGGATAGTTCCGAAGGGACGGCGGAGAAGACCACGGCAGAATCCTCACAGGCAGCCGGGTCTAAGGAGGAAGCCAAGACCTACGAGTACAGGGGCGGCGGTCCCGTAAAGCTCTCTCCTGGAGTCACACAGTTTGAACGCAGGCTTGCTTCGCCGCTTCATCAGGGACTCATGAACGCCTACAGGGCGGCCTTCAGCAAGTTCGCCAAGGAGCCATTGGTGCCGAGGTGGAAGACCTTGGCCCTGGTCGACTCCAAAGAGGCTTGGCTGGGCCGCATCGTGTACCGTCGCGGTTCCCTCACAGACGACCTCCACAGGAACCCGGAGTGCGAGATCCACATTCCGGAGGAGCACGCCAACAAGCTCTTGGAGACCTGGCGCAGCATCTGGTACGACCAATTGCGACAGCAGGTCAACCAGACGACTGTCGAGCAGGAAGCTTTCGACAGTGCAGCCCGCCTCACAGCACACAACTACGCAGAGGCCAAGAGACTCAGCAGGTTCCTGACCAAGGCCATCCCAGAGTACAACGAGGGCGAGGACGAAGGATTGGATGACTGGATCGCCAGGTTCCGGTATGAGTTCCCATGGCCGGTGAAGTTTGTGCAAGTTCCACCGGATGCCGAAGAGAGGACACACTTCACAGGACTCAGGTCCACAGAAGAACTCATGGAACAGATGGCGGCTCAGGAACAGGAGGCTGCCTTCACAGTGGACTCGGAGAGCGGAGGTGTGGGGGCGATGATCGACGTGGCCTCCCAAGTGAAGCGCACTCACAGTGATGCCGCCTCCGCTGTCAGTGGCATCAGTGCGGCCAGCAATCCGAGCTCTGGGCTTCCTCCTCCACAGCCCACCAAGGCCAGGCCGAGCTACTACCCGTTCGGCTCACAGGCGGAGCTCGAGGGCGCGGTAGAGGAAGCCAAGATCACCCACATCAACAACGGTGGGGTCCCCACGGACTACTCACAGGAGGCCTGGGAGGCATGGTGCATCAAGCGCCGTGCTGCTGGCTCGCAGTGATGGTTCGGCAAGCGCGCCCTCTCTTCCTTGCAATCTTCGTGCGACCGCATTTTTCACAGGCTGCTGCCTCTTGTACCATAGCAGACCCAGACCGTACCACACAGCTGGGCAAAAACGAGTTGAACCGTTCTGGCACGCCACCTAAAGGCGAGCTGGGTGCGCTGAGCCACTATTATAACTCTAGTTCATCTTCACCTCACAGTTTTACTTTTCCAGGTTGCTCTGAGAGTTGTTCTAGTGAGCCTTTCGGCGACGAAGTGCCCCACAGACCCACCGCCACCTCAGGTCACAAACAGCACGGCAGCAGCGAGCACGCCGCCGCATCACCACCAGATCTCGCAGCAGGCGGGAGTACAGAGAATGGAGGCATGCTCTTTCCACCTTTCCAACCCCTAGTTGTGGTTTGGGCTCCAGAGCTAGGATCAACAACCAAAAGCCTTTATACGGCCCCACGCCGACTGCCCCAACCCCGGGCGGCTTACAGCCTGTTCCCACCAGGGTCTCCCCTAAGGGTCGTGGCCCGCAGTTTCGTTCCTGCAGACGTTTTCACCGGCTTTTTGGCCAAAGCCCCTGACATGCGAGTGAAGAGACACCCCCCACAGAATCGATCCACCCCCAATCATTTGAGGCTTCGAACACCGGAGCCCGCCACCCCACCAATTGGCCATTTTGGCCCGCCTGCCTCCCCCACGAAGGCTCTTCCACCACTGCGCCTCTCACAGCGGACACACTTCCCTCCTCCCTTCCCTCCCCGCCCAACCCTACCCCCCCCTTACAGCCTCAGTTGAACAGTGGCCGTGCCTCTTGGGCAGACGCCCAGGATGCCCAGAACAAGCAACATACACGGGCCCACTGGTTCAAGACCCACTGCCGTAGCCCTCAGGAGCACGGCAGACAGAGGCACTCCACACAGTTGCGCTCCAAAGTGCGCCTGAAGGGGGGATTCTGGAACACCACGGGCCTCCTTGAAGCCGGCAAGATCCACACCCTGTTTAAGATCATGCAGACGCATGGTCTTGACTGGCTGGCCCTTACAGAGACCCACGTGAAGCAACAGGATCGCTTTATGATCGATGGGTACACTGTCACACACAGTGCTGATGACAAACTGGATGCCCAGGGAAATCCGGTCCAAACCTTCACGGGAGTGTCATTGATTACCTCCCCGCGGCTCACACCCTGCATTCTGGACATCGTTGCCACCGACGGTCGTTTTCTTTCTTTCAAGATAGACACGGCGGAGGCCCCTCTCACAGTTCAGGTGGTGTACGCTCCTCACAATCAACGTGAGCAGCCGGTCCGCGATGCATTTTGGCAGTCGTTGGGAGACATCCTTCACAGACACCCCGCCAGCGAACCTCTCTTATTGGTTGGCGACTTCAACGCGCAACTGCTCGACGAGCTTTCCTCCAATCGTGGCAGCGTCGGCCCGCACGCCCACTTTGGAGCGAACGTGGCCGACGAGACCCTAGCCTCACAGGCTGGTGAGGACGACTCACTGTCCAACCACGCACAGCTGTTCGAGATGTCGGTCAGCCACGACTTGTGCTTCCCGCAGACGTGGATGGACAAAGACGAGCGACATCGAATGACACATCAGCGCCCGAATGGCGACTTGGTACAGCTGGACCACGCTGTCACCAAGTTCGCCTGGAAGAACATGGTCACCGATGTACACACCCTCCCGAACGCTGCCCTCAACAGCAACCACTTCCTCACCAGAGTCACTCTCTCCCTACACACAGCCTGCCACAAGCGAGCTGCACCCACCCCCAAGCTGACCAGATGCCCTGACGCACAGTCCATACTTTCCTACAAGCCCTCCAGCATCAGCCAGCCTTCGAGGAGCCTGCCCCACCCGAGACAACTGCGGAGGACGTCTCTGCCCAGCCTTCACAGTCGTGCACAGACCAGCAGAGGCTGGACCGGCAATGGAAATCGATTAAGGATTCCATTCTACAGTCCATGGAGATGCACATCCCCACATTGACTAGCAAGCCCAAGCACCCTTGGATCAGCCAGCAGACGTGGGAGCTCATCGAGCAGCGCACCGCCGCTCGCCAGAGTCAGAACCTGGAGACAGAGCGTCAGTTACACAAGACCATCCGCTCACAGGCCCGCCAGGACAAGCAACAATGGCTTAAGGATCGTCTTCAGGAGAGCGAGGAGACACTGGACGCCCGGGAAAAGTGGCACTGGATCAAGCGCATCCGCTCGGACTACAGGCCTCGCACGGTCACTCTGCATGACTCCAATGGCAAGCCCACCAGCTACAGCAAGCAGGCAGACACCTTCGCCAAACACCTGTCGGAAGTACAGCGGGCCCCCCCGCCGGCTGACTACCCAGGCCCCACCCACAGACTGACTGACGACAGTCCAGTAAACATGGCCCCCATCACGATGGAAGAGCTCAACAACACCCTCAAAGGCATGGCTTCACACAAGGCACCAGGCCCGGACCAAATTCCGGCGGAGGCCCTACAATGGCTTACGCCAGCCAACCGACAACCGCTCTTGGACCTCTACAACGAAGCTTTACTCACAGGCCTGGTACCGGAAGAATGGTCAACGGCAGTTGTTGCAGAGATTCACAAGCGCGGCACGATGGCGGACCCCAACAACTACCGCCCCATCGCCCTCCTCAGCACCTCTTACAAGCTCTTCGCCAGGCTCCTTCAGAAACGCCTGGAGCAGGCTATAGACTCCAAGCTGCGACCCACACAGTACGGGTTTAGAGCCACCAGATCGACCTCACAGGCGATACACGTGGCAAGGAGGCTGTTAGAGCGCGCGGAACGCTGCGGCTCAACCTTGTACGTGCAGAATTCTTGACTGGAGTCAAGCATTTGACAAGGTTCACCCGCAAGCTGTCACGGTGGCGCTAGAACGGCATGGGGTCACACCGGCGTTTGTCAATCTGATTGGCTCGATCTACAACAACCCCTCCTTCACAGTGAAGGCGGCGGGGCAACTGAGCCAACAGTCTCAAGCAAGCTCTGGCATTCGCCAAGGCTGCCCACTTTCTCCCTACCTCTTCCTGGTGGTCCACAGCATGATCATGGCCGACGTCGATGCAGAGCTGCAGCAGCATGGACAGATGCTCCCGTGGCTTTTTAGCCAGAACCAGTCATTCTATGACCTTGCTTACGCAGACGACATGGCCATTTTCACAGGCACTGCGGAAAGAGGTCAGCAAATTCTGCACAAGATTCAGGAAGTCGCTGCTCACAGCAACCTCTCGCTGAATCTCAAGAAGTGCGAATTACTTCGCTCACAGCTGGCCGTCAACCACATTCACTTCCTCACAGGAGAATCAATGATAGAGGTCACGCAGGCCAAGTACCTTGGCGTCGTCCTCAGCCACGACTCTTCCAGCAAGGCGGACATCACCGCACGGCTGGGAAAAGCGCGGAAGCACTTCAACACCTTGCACGCCTTCTGGCGACACACAGGCCTGAGCGTGGCTTGGAAGCTACGCATCTACAACGCGGTCTTCATCCCCATGATTGCTTACGGCATGGAATCCGCTGCGCTCACCACAGCTGACCTCCACAGGCTCGAGGCCTTCCACTCACAATCCCTTCGCAAGATCCAGCGGATCAAAGCTACCTACTACACCAAGATCCTCACAGACAACCCCAACGCACAGACCATCCGTAACGAAGGAGTCCGAGCTCTGGCCGACCAACCCCCCCTCACTCACCACATTCACAGGGCACAGCTCAAGTTGTTTGGTCACGTTTTGAGAGCAACTCCGAGCAACCTGGAGCGAAACTGTGTTTTTACGAAGGCGTTTGTATATAGAGGGGGTACAGTACAGGCAGGCATTCGCCCGGGACGTCGTAGACTTCACTGGGCCGAGCAGTGTGCAGAGCTAGCATGGCACTGGCTTTCGTACACTTCCAATGCCATGACTTCTCTCGCCCCAAGTTTTCCTTTTGCCTTCCTTTTACTTCACAGGCTGGCTGTTAACCGTCCGGCTTGGCTTCAGTTAGTGGGGCTGCCAACGTGCAAGAAGCTCCTCAGGTCTAGCGCGTTCTTTTCCTACTCACAGTGAGTACGCTGACTTGTGTTTGCTTTGCATAGGGCCGCCCAAAAAGAAATGAAAAGCCATAGACATGCACCCAAAGGTTAAGCATGCTGTCATCTCAGAGCGACGTCGCTGCCTATTGCGACGATCGCATCCACGACTATGCTGCCCATTCAAGCATGCACTGCAGCACACTGCTCGTCCCTCCAGAGCCAGGCGATCACAGCCAGTAGAGCAGCAAAGGGCCATGACCTGAGTGGAAAACATGTGCAAGCGAAGAGTTGACACTTGCCCATGCATGCGCCAGTGCAGTTGCAGCCGACAGAAGGCTGTGCAAGGGTTTTAGGCCGCGGTATGCCAGGGGAGGACTATGTTATCAGCCTAACAATTGACACACTGTACAGAAAGGGACACACCTTATCAGTGACGTCCCAAGTGTAGTCCAATGCAGCAACAGCCTACTGGTCTATGCCTTCACGCAAAACAGTCGGCAAGCCATCCAGCGAGGGAGGCACAGGTAGCATTTCTCGCCCAGCAGGAAGAACAAACCCTAGGTTCTCCAGCTTAGCTCGGTGAGAAGCAGCCACCGATTCCCACTTATTCACAGTGTAGGCTGTCAGCACCAAGCGTTCCATGCCTGTCCAAGCACATGTGAAATGAGGCCGTCTGTGGGCCTGAAATCGGACTGCTTGCATTTGCAATGAGAACCGTCTGCCGCGCAGCCAGCCATTCAGATGCTCGTGGTATTCACTGCCGGTCTCATCCTCTATCCAGACCTCTCCTCCCTCATGAAGAGAGAGGGCCATCAAGAGGCTCGGCTCCGGACCATTCTGTGCATCCAGATGTACCGGCGTCTGAAGATTATAGAGCAGAGCAACCGTGCTCCATTTATGCCATGGGCAGACCCGCAGTACCAAAGCATTGAGGATTCTCGCAGTGTTCGCATGCGTGAGCGTTTGTCGGCAAAGACCTGTAAATTGGTTCTTGCCATAAACACCAAAAGTGACGCTGTATCCCGTAAGCCTGTCGCGGCAATTCCAGTTCCAGGAGTCTTGCCACTAGCCGCGCCGAATGCCACAGTGTCCCGGCCCCGGATTCAAGCAGGTGCTGCGCCAGTCGCTCAGCTTTGCTGGATTTCCTGAAGTCTTCCCAGGACGGGTGTGGAAGCGCCGAGTGTGCCCGCCCACAGTACTGTACATCCAATAAGTCCGCATACTGATGGAGTGCAGCTACCGACGCACCACCAAGGCGATGCTGCGCCCATAATAGCAAATCATTCCATGCCAGCAGGCCTAGTTGAGCTGGCGGTGGGTTGCCTGTCTCCCACACATACAGATTGCAGACTGACTGGAGCAGCAGATGCGACATAAGCATATCCTCATACACATCATCTGGCACTGGGACTATTTCTATGCACCCGGGCTGCATGTTGAGCCAACCTTTCACAGATTGACTGAGGCACAGCGGCAACTTGCAAGGCATCACGTGCAGCCACTGAGGACAGAGCAGAACGCTTGGCAGTGAAGCTCAAACCTGCTACCCCTTCCCTGCCTTAAGCGGCTCGGGCCACCATGCCCTCCTGATTGCATCAAGCTCAGTGCTCAGAGTGAAAATGAGTGACAACGTGAATCATGATTCAAGACGGACTTGCAAAAAGAGCATGCACGAATATTGAGAATCTTTTTCGGAACTGCTTCCTCGCCTTGTCTCTTCGGAGAGACGAGGAGACACCGGAGAGGCACTCAACTCGTATCACAGGAGTGCTCTCCCTGCATCTCTGGTATGCGTTTGTCTGCAGTGTACGTACATCACGCTTCGTGGCAGGTTTGGGAGTTCTATGATCATCACACATTTGAAAACTCCAATCCTGAGAGGTCGGAGCAGTGGGCGGTACGCTAAGGGCAACCTGATAGTGACCAGATCTAACAGTTTCCCCTAAGTGAAAAACCACAAACCCCACCCGGTAGGTCTGGACTTCGGTGCCGACTTCTGCAGCATCAAAGCAAGGCAGGCGAAGCTGCGCACCTGGCCGAATCAACACCGATGTCTTATCCTTTCTCTGATCCGGTTTATACCTACAGATCTGCAGGCACACCATGGGAGTGGGCTCGCATAGGCCATGTACCGCATATTGTGTCTGCCATGCTTGAATCATGCACTGCAGCGAGCTACGGATGGGATCAAGAAGAATCGGCATGTGCAAGGAACCATTGTCCGTAACAGAAAGAGGCTCACTAAGTCGCGCTTGCCACTGGCCTGCAAAATGTGAGGGCTGTAGCGCTGCACAAAGCTGCGCCCAAAATTCACCTGCGTCATGCTGTCTACGAAGCTCCCGCCACGTGCGAAACACTGCTCGAAAAGCACAACATTCTAGCACATTCAGGGTTCCCTGCGCGCCGAGCCTGGGCCGATTCGGTGAGCCGGGACGACGAGCCGGCAAGCACATGCAGCCAATGCCATGCCTGGAGTGTGGCATTGGCAAAACAAATGTTCATGCCACGTGGATTGGCCAGTTTGGCCATCGGGATGCATAGCCTTGTCTCCTCAGTCACTCTCACCCCGGTCCATGGGGTAAGGCCGCCCTAGGCCTTCCCCCGGGTCCACTTCTGGTCCCGATTGCCCCACTCGCAGAAGTCCACCGCCAGGTAAGCCTGCTCCAGCTGGCGGCTCATTTGCGAGCGCTGTCCCCGTTCCGGTTTGATTCGAAAGCCCGCAAGCTTGCAGCATGCGCATCCGACCAGTCGGGAGAGGATGAAGTGGGCCTCCTGTGCTCCCTGGGTTCGCAGACTGATCGCCGCCATGAAAGGGATGACCGGCGCATCCTGGGTATCCATGTCCTTCGTGGCCCGAAAGCGTAGCAGGACCCCATCTTCCATCAGACGAACTTGCAGGGTTTCCAGATCCCTGAGGATCTCGCTCTGGGACCGGGGATCCGTCGGCCCTGGGACCTCGCACTTCTGAGCCGGGTCCCAAACGTGGTAACGCCACGCCGGGTCCAGAGCTGTGCGTCCATCCATCAGCCACCCCGCTTGCTTGCAGCACTCCAGCTTGTCCTCGTCGGTGTGGAGCCCTTCCATCGACTCCTTCAAGGTCTTGAAGATGCCTGGCATGAGGAACTGCTTGAGGGTCTGTCCACCGTCCCTTTGGTGAACATCTCCTGCCAGCGATCGCCGGCCTCCTTGAGCTGCTGCAGGCACGAGTGTGAACCCGTATCGACGAAGATCACATAACTTGTATCTGCTCGATACAAGGACAGGTCCGCTTCGTGGCGGAGCACCGCCCGTGTCAGGGTGGTGACCAGGTGCTGAAGCTTCGGATCGTTCGCCGCCGTCTGGGTCCGATTGTCCCCTGAGTGGGACGACTTCTCCCACTGTCTCTTTTGAGCTCGCCATTCCGACCATCCATCAGCTCCCTTCCCCCCGTTGGGCCGGGACCACTTGGGCGGTCGGCCCTCCTGCTGGTCCGTCTGCCCCGGGTTTGACCGTGGTTGTCGGCGGCATTGGTGGGGAGGCTTTTCCAAACACCGTCAGCAGCTGCTCCTGAGCGCTGGAGGCCCTCATGTCGGAGCCCTCGTCCACTGCCATGGTCATGTGTAGGATCCTGCAAGGCTTTGCGGTGAATGAGTTCAGCAAGTGATGCCTGAAATACCGGAACACAACCTTTAATGTGTCGACGTGGGTCCTGGGACTGCTTGCCGCAGTATCGACAGGGGCTCACTGGGATGAGACCCAGTCCGGAAACTCGGGCGGCTGCTTCTGGAGCCAAGGCATATTCGGCCGAGTGCATTGTGCGTAGATGCTGTTTACAGCCAGGGCCTATGTTGGATATCCACTGCTTACAGAGCACACAGTGCTGATTTAGCAACTTGCAGTATGCTGGCTTCAGCAGTACTTTCCGCCATCCTTGCATCAACGTCTGCTGAAATGCAGGAACACGCAGCAGTGGCATTTCCACTTCCGGCACGGGTGGAGGGTTCTCATGAGGAGGGGGGACCTGTGTTCCTCCCGACTCCTCCCGCTCAGAGGCTACCTTGACCTCTGAGACGGTGAGACCCTCTGCTGACTGTGAGGCGACGGTCTCCGGTATGTTTGACACCAGCTTCGGGCACCCTCTATTGATGTGTTTCTTAAGCCCCTCAACCCGTGTAAACTTTGCCCCACACAGTCTGCAGCTCGGCATGCCGTCCTGAGCATACTGCCGATAGGCCTCGGCGGCTATGACTCCCCGCACTTTTTGGGCGGTGTGCAGTGGGTATTCTTAGGGGTCGGATTAGTCACAGGGGGTTTAGCAACAGGGGTGGACTTATGGGCTCTGGCCTTATGAGACCTCATTATCCTATGATTGATGAAATACTGCCCACAGGTGTCGCACGGCACACCGCGGCACTCCGATGAGAGCACAATCTCCTCTCCTGTTGCCGACTGATCATACTCCTGAACTATCTGCTCATGCAAGGACCGAAACCAGGCTTTGCTTTCAAGATCAGCACATTGCTCAGATCGCCTGAACAGAAGTGCACGGAGATACTCAAAAGGCGACGTGGGGCCAAGCCGAGCTCGCAGTCTGCTGGTCGATTCATGCGTCAGATGTGCAGGTGCTTTGGCGCTGCCCCTGAGCGCCCTAGAGTCGAAAGCCTTCTGAGTACTTCGGCCGGAAGCCCAACCGCATGCAGACCATACACTAAGGTGCTTCTGACGCATGCCTCGTACAGGCGCACACGACTGCGGACAGCTATCCGTTTGCTGTGAAGCATACGAAGTAGGCGCTGCCGGTTTTGCATGGCCGCCCTGAGCCGGTGCTCAAAAGTCTGTACCTCAAACCGTTGATAGGAAACCACTATACCAAGGTAAACCAAGGAGGAAACCTTAGGGATGATCAGGGGTTGATCGGGTGTGCCGAAGTTCATGGCCGGCTGGCCTTCTACGGTGCATTGATGGCGCTGGATCCACTTGCGAGCGGCACTGCCTCGCAGTCCAAGGACTATCCTAGACTTAGTCGGGTTGACCTTCATACCCGCCATTTGAAAGACCCTTAAAACCGCACGTACCGCTCGCTGTGCACTTTCCAGATCTGCCATGCTGGATATCTCAAACGAGAGATGGCTGTCATCAGCAAACAGCGTCAGTAGCTTGGCCGCCCACTCCGGTTCCGTCGTGAGTGCGATCTGATCGAATAACCAGCAGCTAAACACGGCAAACAAAAGAGGCGCCAGGGAACAGCCTTGTCTGACGCCTTTTAGCATACTGAATGTGCCGGAGAATTCCTCGTGCTGCACTTCATACTGACACTGTTCATGCAGCCCGAGAATTGCATGTGTCAGGGCCTCGGACAGACCAGCATGGGTGAGTGCCTGTGCAAGGATATGCCTGGGAATTTCATCAAATGCACGACTCATGTCCAAGCTTATCATGAATCCCCCAAACAGAGTGCTAGGAGTGTTTCCCGCCCTTCTATCATGAACACTTAAAACCCCATGGCTAAGCTTGGCCAGAGTCCGGTGACAGTGTCGGACCACTCTTCCCAATGCGTCGTCTATTGCCTTCCCCGGAGTATAAGCATATTGTGGCCTAGTGGCTAAGTACGACCCAATCTCAGTCAGGACACGACTCTTGAGGGCATTGGCCAGCACCTTGCTAAAAGGATCCTGCAGTCCTAGGGGCCTTAGATCCTTGGGCCTTCTACTGGGTTTCCCCGGCTTAGGCAACAGTGACAGCTGACAGTTGGTGGCCTCCGCGGGAAACTGATGCACTTCAGACGAGCTGGCATTAAGGATGCGCGTGCAGTAAGAGGCCAAGCGTTCAAGCTCAAGTAGCCACACATCTGCCGGCAGACTAGTCCTGGGAACTGCTTTTCCTTTCCGCAAACCTTTAATAGCATCTAAAACCTCAGCCTCTGTAAAGTGCAGGTACTCCGCGCAGTTTGGCAAGCTGAACCGGTCCTCCCTTCCAAAAGCATCAGAGAAGAACTGGAAGATTTCTCGAAATTCTTGCTTGGTCGACAGCAGATGACCCTGTTCAGAGCGAATCCTAACCTTCTCAACCCGACGTCTCGGAGCAAGCGTGTTCACGACCGCATACACACCCCTGAGATCATGTTTAGCAGCAGCTTGCTCGGCTAAGACAACTTGCTCCTCAAACCACTCCCTTCGCTTGCTCCGACTGGCCGCCTTTAGGGCCTTGGTGGCCCGAGCAAACTCACTATGCCGGCGAAGGGCCTCCGAGGCTCTCCGAAAGGAAAACTGGGGTCCGGGTACAGCAAGGCGGGAATGCGCAGTCCACATGTCCCTGATGCATTTAGTAACATGTTCCTTCCCAGCGTCTGGCCTGGACCTTCGGGACTCTGCCGGGAACAGACGATTGCATTCCAGAAGCATTCTCTGGTTGAGTTCTCGAATCGTGCCTCGCGCGCCAAGCTGTTCAAGAGTGTTGTTTAGGGCCGATTGAAGTTCACGAGCTTTTGTGTCCTGGGTGCGTAGGGATTGCATAAGATCACGGCGGGAGAAGGTGGGTTGCTTACGTTTGCGGGGAGCAAGCTTCCAGCCCTGAACCCAAGGGATGCTAGCCTGTATAGGGAAGTGCTTGGGACCTTTACGCCAGGGGGCTAAATCGAGAGCAATGGGAGTAGCCATTCGTGGGCGTTGCCACATGCAGATGTAGTCAATCTGCGTAGCAACCGACCCATTCTCGAACGTCCTGGACTTGCTGGGCGTTGCACGGCCCCACGTGTTCAGAGTAGCCAGTCGGTTGGCCTTCTGCAGAGTTTCCAGCTCCATATCCGGACTCCTAGCAGCTTTCAATATCCCTCGCCCATTCAAGCTGGCCAGTGGCCTACATGTGGAGTTCAGGTCCGCTCCCATCACCAGAACATTCCTCGAGGGTATGCCTTGCAGCAGGAGGCCCAGTTTGGTCCAGAATGCATGTCGAAGCTGCTGGACCCGAGCATCATCACGACCTTTCCAGACATACTGATATGCAGCCACAATGTCCAGCGTGGCCTGCATGGAGGTGTATCGGAGATGCAGAAGCCGTCCAGGCATCCAGACCACGTGACTGACTCGTTCCGGGGCGAGTCTCGCGCTGTAGCGGTTTGAAGGATCCGGAGCAGATATGACTAGCCAGTTCGGCAGCATCCATCGTTTTTCTTCCTTCCCCAGTCCCCAATGTGTCTCTTGTACTATCACCAGATCCATTGTACATCGGGAATCCAACCATTCCACAAAAGTGTCAAACAGTTCCTGTGTGAATCCACCAATATTCATGCTCATGGCTTCGGTTTGCAGGAGGGTGGCGCTTTCACAGTAGCAATGCCAGAGTCCTGTGCGCTCGCTTGAGCTTGCACACCCAGGGATGGGGCGGATCGCCAGCTGCCCCTGTACCATGTTCCCCCATTCAACTCTGCACGTCTCTTCGCGCGTCTGTAGGCGCGCTTGCGGCTGGTACTCCAAGTCTCTCCTGAGAGCCCCCGTCCAGTAGTTTTCGCTCCATTCGGAGCTTCCAGGACCGGTGTGGAGCGGTCTCCAACCCTCGGGTCTATCCCCACTGAGTCCTTCATTGACTCGGCATCTCTAACTTGCGAGGATCGCCGGATTTGGGACCGGCGCGGCTGGGCCATACTCATCGTCTTGTTGGTAGCGAGCAGCACAAGTACAAGAAACAACCTGCAAGCAGCTCCTCGGACCATGTTGTGAAAGAGAGCTACGTCCTGCCCCTCATGCTCCAGCCGAGACCCTTAGTAGTAGTAGTAGTAGTAGTAGTAGTAGTAGTAGTAGTAGTAGTAGTAGCAGTAGTAGTAGCAGTAGTAGTAATAGTAGTAGTAGTAGTCGTCGTCGTAGTAGCAGTAGCGGTAGTATCATCACACTCGCTGCGGACGGTGAAGTCGCATTGCGATGACTAGAGCGGGGGTCACCCGGCGCACAGTGGCGCTCGATCACGATTGGGTCGACTCAAGCTAGCTACGTTGCCCCGAAGGGCCTATGTGGAAGTTGCAGCACTCCTCATTCGGTATACAAGGATATAGCTGGAGTTGGATAGGGCCTCTGGGAGGATGGAATGTGCAGCACTGTTGTCAACGGTATAGTGCCAAGGGGCTGCAGCATTGGAACGAGGCTTGAGTGCAGCACGCTAATGCCCAGTGACCGTGGCAGGCCCGATATGTTGGACAATCGCCTGAAGCTGATACTTTCGCCATATGATACCTTCGGGAGTCCATTGAGGAAATAGGACTTCAAGATCAGCATCTATGCGACGGTCACGTTTGGAAGCAATGCCCTGCTCATTGCGAAAGCGATTCAACTGTACAGCCACCGCTTCAGTACCTGAAATCAGGGCGTGGCGACGTTTCTGTGAATGCCAGCGGTTGATGCAGGACTGAGCTGAGGTGGCAACAATGTCTGAGGCATCTTGCATTCCGGAGAGTATGAGTGGGCAGACCCCGCCTTCATCCTGAAGCATGTGGCTGTCGTCAAAGGCTGCCAGAGGCCCTGAAAAAACAGGGCGCATTGAGGACCTGGTGCAAATGGAGCAAGAAGTCCGCGGCATCATGTTGCCTGGCGGGATTGTGCCAGCCCCGCATTGCCTGTCTCCATGGCAGGAGGGACCAAAGCATCATTTGTGGCTGTTTGCGCGCCTGTGCAATGAAGCTCTTTAGCGGTTCCCGGCCCAGTACCTGAAAGGAGGAGGGAGTTTGGGACACAATCCAAAGGTAGGTCATGAGGCAGGCGTGGGAGTAACAGTAGTTAGAGGGATTGCGAAGTTGCAATGTCGGCAGGAGTGCTGAGGTCTCGGCGGCTGTCGCGGCATGGGGATGTTCATGGACTGAAGAAGGGTCTGGAGCTGCTGTGCCAGGGCTGATCTCTGGAGGCGATCCGGGTGGAGGGTGCATCCGATCATCAGGAGAGAGGAGTTGTGTGAAAGGAGCTGGAGCAACTCCCAGAAGCGAGCTGTACGCTCGCCCCTCCAGCCCACTTCCAGTAGCCAGGTCACTGTGCTGCCTTCCATTTTCTCCTCCAGGTGGCGGGTAGCATGAAAACGGTTGAGCAGTTGTGGTTGTACACTCAGCGTTGCCAGTTCCTTGGCTATCTCCACCACCTTCTGTGCCGTGAGTGGCTCTCGATCCGGGATTGGCTGCATCGTGCCCTCCTTGTTGTTCCACTTGCGATATCCAAATCCCGTGTTGGGGTTGTACAGCTCCATTTGGATCGCCTGCTCGCGGGCATCCTCCTGATCGATCACCTTCTGGGCACGCTGGGACAGTTCGAGCATCAGTTTTTGCCAGAGGATGACGCGCATCGGATTTGTGATGGAGTCCGGGTCGTTCCATCGTATCTCGTGCCATCCCTGGGCTGTGGCGAACAGCTTGGGGAGGACCGTGCCCGGTGGCTGGGTCGTGAGGAAGAGGATCCACGTGGTGAAGGACTGAGAGAGCGTCTTCGTGCCTCATGAGGAGCCTGGCCATGGTGTGGCACATGAGGGTGAGCGGGGCCGGAAGCAGGCCCGTAACCTTGTCCCTGGCGCTGGCAGGGGGACCTCCCTGACGCCTCGGCCCGCCTTGGTATGAAGGTCGCATGGCAGTGGCCTGTTGGCTCTTTGGTCCGCGACCCGATGAGCCCTTGCCCTTGCCCGGCTGGGTGGCCCCTTTGCTGTTGTCTCGCTGCCATTTCGAGGGCCTGTCTGTGATCTCCGACTGTTGAGGGTTCGAGGAATCCGGCATGCCTCCCTGTGGCGGGGGTTCGTTCATCGTTGTCGCCGGGGCCAATTGGGAACCTGGGCCAGGTCTGTCGTGTGATGTAGCGCATGCGTGGCTTGCAGCAGGTGAACCACAAACAGGACCGCACACTCAGTTGCGTGCTTGATGGGCGCGCCTGTGAGGGTAAGGCTGCAGTAGCGACAGGTGCTGCCAAGGGCCAAAAGCCTGCGGTGAGTTTGCATACGGCGGACTGCCTCTTCACAGCAGGCAATCATCGGCGGGTGTTTGGCTTTTCTATGCGCTCGAAGGCCACGCGCTTGAGTCAGCCACTGATGGCAGTACGGGCAGTAGTGGACCGCCTGAGGAAACTCCTTTTTCAGCCAGGAGGCAAGCTTCTCCCATGTCCCTAAGAGGTAAGGTTGGCATTCAGGTCTATGATACAGCGGCGTCGGGTTAAGATTGTGTTTGGGAGGTAGGGCATTGAAGCCGTCTGGCACCAATGTTCTGCAAGATTTGGTGGAAATGTGGATTCGTAGGTTATGCCAGGAGTCACACTGTCTGAGACAATGCCGGCACTGCGGCAGACCTTCGCGGCCATGCTGCCAGACAAACAGAGCGTGTTCATCTGCCGCAAATGGAGGTAGCGTGGCCGGGGCCGTGGCAGCATCTGGATCCAGGATCACAGTAGGAGTGGAGGAGGACCGACCTGGAGCAGGAGCCTGAGCAGGAGTAGGGTCCGAACCCGATGCAGCAGGAGTCTGTCGTACTTGTGCATGGTGAGATTTTCATGTGGAAGCGTACGGCTTGAAGGGTGCTGTAGCCTACTCCACAGATGGGACAGCTGAGTGGCCGGTAGCTGAGGACACTGCTGACTGGTCTGAGGTGGGCGCGGGCAGAGCCTGTCCGAGAGGTGAACACTGAGCCAGGGGGGTCTGATGCTGTGATGGCAGGTGCAGTCGAGTAGTCCTGCAGCTGATCGAACCAGGTTTCCTGCGCAGCAGTGGGGAAGTCCGGGGCTTGTTGCAGGTGGCGCTGAATGCGCTGATCTAAGGTATCGCCTGGTGGGTCAAGGTGACTTCGGTGAAGGAGATCGTGGGAGGTAACTTTGGTGGTGTGTCCCGGGAGTTTGTGGATGAGCCTGAGCTGGGCATGGACAAACTGGGAGAGGAGGGTGCGGGAGTGGTGGGTAATGCCTGTCGCCTCCAGGGAGTATAGAACGACCGGGTAGACACATGTCTTCCATACTCGAATTTTGCTGTCTAAGGTCAGGGCGCGACAGCGGAGGACCTTGGCCAAGCGCCAGTAAGCCTGCCAGCCGAGTTGCAATCGGTGCTGCAGGTTGAGGGTTTCGTGGTTCTGGTATGCAACGCGAGCTCCAAGGTAGGTGTGGTCATCAACGATCTTGATGGGCATAGTGCTTTGACCGACACGAAGCTTTATTGCAGCTTCGCCTGTTTCCAGCTTCGTGAGTCTGGGGCGGAGAGTGCTTCTGGCCGCAGTGCCTTGGAGATTGATAAGAAAGACAGTTTTTGTGGGCGACACTCGGAGGCCTGATTCGTGGAGAAGCTGGATAAGCAGTCCCGCCGCTCGCAGGCTGGACCGGAACTGCTCCTGCGTTCGTATGGTCCAAGAGGACCAGATGTCATCTGCATAGAGGGTGGGCTCTCCCAGCAGCTCCTTCTTTTGTGTGACGATCTCTTGGAACCTCAAGTAGATCTTTGTGGTGGCCATGGACCACAAGAGGGGTGATAGACCGCAACCCTGGCGTATCCCCTGTGAGAGCTCAACTTCATCTCGGTGGCCCGCCAGCTCGAAGGTGAGCTTGGCCTGATCGTGTTTTTTTTGAAGTGCAAGCGCTACCTCTTCGGACGACAAGCCGGCTGCCAACATTGATTCCACAAGCTGGTCTCTGGGCAGCGAATCGAAGGCTTTGTCTACGTCGAGGCTCAGCGACAGGCCTCCAGCGATCTGGCAAGGTACTGCTCCTGAGTGACGCAGGTGTCGTTTGGGGGCAGCAGAGGCCGCCAGGGTGCGTGCCTCATGCAGATGGCCGCATAAGCGGCTGATCGCATCGGTGGTGCTGCGGTTGCTGACGTAAGCGAATTGTGGTGCCTGACGGATGTAGGTTTCAGCCCTGTCTCTGATACGGTCTGCCAGCATCATTGCCAGTATCTTACTACCAGGTGGGAGGAGGCATATGGGGCGCAGTTGCTTCGGAAGGCGAGCCATGGAGACCTTAGGAATGAGGCACACATGCACTCGATGCCAGTCCTCTGGGAGGTGGTAGGTCGGCGACTGTAGACAGTGTTTCAGTCCTTCTGCAATGTCCGGCCCTATGGCTGTTGAGGTGGTTTGCCAGAGTCGTGCCGGCATGTAGTGCGGGGGAAGAGCTTTCCGGACCGGGAGTCGGGCAAGGGCACTGCTTACCTCTGCATCAGTGAAATGGAGGTCTGTGGCTGGCTGTGGTGGGGTGGGTCGGCTTTTGGCGGTTTGGTAGAGGCCTTCGAAATGTTGGCGGATGGCCTTGAGTTCATCTTGTGGAGACATCAGCATACCTTCCTCGTCGCGCAGCTGGATACG